CGACATAGCTCTAGGGGTCATTGAGACACACAAACCGCTCCACCACGATAAGGTGGTGACCCCATTCGGAACGGAGTTAACTATGGTCGTAAATAACTGTTTCTTGTTGCCTAATTATCCACTTCTTGTCATTTGGTGCTTACATGTATTAGAAAGAAGTGCTTAATCAGGGAAAGAAAGTTACCTGCTTGGTGTGTAGTAACCAGAGAAATGACTTTTTCCGCATGCTAGGCGTTAAGGTTTCTTGAATTATCGTTCTTAAGACTACAGTAATAATTCAGAGCATATTTTTCTATGTTGAAACAGGCTCAGAACGACCCAAGAATGAAAGAGGCAGAAAGCATGTCAATCCCTGTGATTGGTGGAGCTGGTGCTTGGGGAAACAATATACCTGGCATTGAAGAGGACCCTATGGTGAGTCGTGCTGTTTAACAATTAGATTATGAGCTCGAGATTTCTATCACGCATGGTAATAGCAAGCGAATAATCATTTAATTGCTTTAGTACAAATCTTCTAGTCGTTCAATACTGTATCTAAATCCTCTTCACAGGCACTTCTAAAACGGAAAGAAGCGGCCGTCATTTTGTTAACAACCTCACAATGCTAGGCCACTCACTATCTACAAAAGAATAGATAGTGAGTAGCGAAGCCAGTGAGACAGCGTCATTTGCCACAGAACGCTAGTAGATTTATACTAAAGCATTCAATCTGATAAACTTGCACTTTAAAGACAAACAGACCTCGTCACTGTAGTCAGGTTGGCCTAGAGCGGCGATCAGGACGAGTGATGGTTGCATCAACATCGCTTGTCTGGGAAATGAAAGGAATGGGAGCACCCTACTAAAACATTTGTAAATTTCAACTACAATGGAGTTTTTTCAAAACCTGCAATGTAGCAAACCCAAAAAGGGACAACAAGAGTGCCACTTATTTACACTAGAAGGGCCAAATTCGTGAACAATCTCCACGTGGTCAAGTTAACAAGGTAGCAATGCTGGAACTTTCTTCAAACAGAAAACATAATAAGCCTTCCAGAAGGCCTCTATCACTGAAGAATGTCCACAAAATTAGCACGATTTGTGTTAACCAGCTGTTGTCCTCCGCTCCTAGACCAGACTCGAGAGAGCGGCGGAAATCGAGCCAAGCATGGTGCTTGATATCAATAAAGATAGTAAGATTCTGTGGTTAGCTAGAAATTAGATACCCGATATTATTATTCCATTTTTACCCGTTATTCACTTGATATCCATGTATTACTGTGATTTTGCTTTGCAGTATATGTATGGTGCACCTAAACCTGAAGAGGATTCAGCTCTGAAGAGGATGTTGGGTAAAACATTGGTCCCGTTCTTTTTGGTTTTGTGTTGCACTTGTGTCGTGCTTTATTATTATTATTTTATTAATATCAGATAAACGCTAATCAGGAATTGAGGGTAAACGGAGGTGGTTTTGATAAGCGTCCTTTGAAAGGGCTGTTCTCTGTTCCTGTTCAGTAACAGTTTGACAATGACCAAAATTTATGACGCTGTCAAGAATATTGTGAGAAATGGTTATTGATAACTTAACAAACTGTCTTGAACAACTCAGTCAGGAGCAGAATAGCATGGTGCAGTGGTAAGAGCGCTCGCCTTCCACCAATGTGGCTTGGGTTCGATATGTGGGTTGAGTTTGTTGTTGGTTCTCGCCTTGCTCCGAGGGTTTTACTCTGGGTTCTCCGGTTTTCCTCCCTCCACAAAAACCAACGTCTCCAAATTCCAGTTCGACCAGGATACGGGACCCGCATGAAAACCAGCTAAGGTTGATGTGGCTTTGTCTCTAAATATTGTAATTTATTTTAAACTCAGAGCTAAGCTAAATGAACGGTACAGGTATAAAAGTGACTATAATATCAGCCATTATGGAAAGTAATTTACGCTTCAAATTGCGACTCATTTCCTCTGTGGTAGAATATAACTTCGACCGTGATATTTTTTCCCCAAACAGGTGGACATTTTGATGTCACTAAAGAGAAGAGACCAATGGATATAAAGAAGGTATCAGTGAATACGT